GGCCATCGGCACTGATGAGACTCGCCAGATAAGTGAAGCGGTCTACACGTTTGACTACTTCATTCCCTATCACTAGTTCAGGTGCCGATGCAACCCAATCTTGAAGCAACATTTTGCATTTCGAGGGTGAAAACCGCATCCCGAACATGCTTGCATTGTTGCTTATGGTGGTCAGAAGACTGCATTTTGTCAGCGTCTTCGAACATATGTTTCAAAAGTTTCCAAAGTATGTTATTTAAGTGAAAAATTAACTTTGGTATATTTGTATTCCAATAAACGAACTAACTATGTGAATTCAATAATGTCAATCTTTGTAAATTTAATTATTCTGAAGATGTCCATTAAACACTGAAATCAATTCATATAAATGATTATTTTTTGACAAGTTTTGGTCATATCAATGTTAACATAGTGTAGTATAAATACACCAGTTCATTCGTTTGTTTCTTGTGTTTCTGCTACAGTTATATACGATTATTTCTTACAGATTTTATCCTAGAAGTGATATATAATGTTTACTTATTGATAGACAATGTGTCTGTAATTCATTTGGTTAGTGAAATTAATTTTCGAAATATATATATATATTCTCTCTAGGTATGGATGGTCTAATGATTCATACTTCTTTGAAAGTTGAGAATAAAATCACTAAGAATCATAACAAACAGTCGGTAATCATTTTGGTTATGGAATATGATACGGTCACCATTTGTTTTTCTGTGTTGAAATAAACAAAGTAAATACTTACACGTTTACATTTAAACAATGAAAATTGATTTAAACAAGCATTGACAGGGTCTTTTTTTGTAGTACATATCTAAGGTGCTAACGTACAGTTAAATATATTGACTGAAGTACACATCATGATAGTTGAGATGGTTTTAAATAAAGCTAGCGATATGTTGAATGTCTAAGTAATTCGTGAAACAAAACTATAGTAATAAGGGTAATTCTGCTAAAAATCTGTTACAGTGAACGATGGCAAACGACAGTAACATCCATATTTTTAGAACACAAGTGTTTAAACCTTACATTCTCATTGGCAAAGTTTGTATGTCTTGCTGAGTCATTCAAGCAAAGACTAGCAGAATCAGAACACACAGGCTCTACTTATTCAGTAAAACATACCCTTGAATAAACAGATAGTACCGTTTATAGAACGACCAGTGTAGCAGCAGCCTCTGCAGCAGTAGGTCTCAACATACATAAAGGAAAAAGCAAAATACTCCGATGCAACACAACATGCACCAACCAAATCACGCTTGATGGAGATACCTTGGAGGACGTTAACACCTTTACATATCTTGGCAGCATCATCGACGAGAAAGGTGGATCCGATGCAGATGTGAGGGCGCGGATCGGTAAAGCGAGGGCTGTATTTCTACAGTTGAAAAATATCTGGAACTCCAAACAACTTTCAACCAAAACCAAAATCAGGATTTTCAATACAAATGTCAAGACAGTTCTACTGTATGGAGCGGAAACCTGGAGAACTACGAAAGCCATCATTCAGAAGATACAAGTGTTTATTAACAGCTGTCTACGCAAAATACTTCGTATTCGTTGGCCAGACACCATCAGCAACAACGAACTGTGGGAGAGGACAAACGAGATTCCAATGGAGGAGGAAATCAGGAAGAAGCGGTGGAAGTGGATACGACATACACTACGAAAAGCACCTAACTGCGTCACGAGACAAGCCCTCACATGGAACCCTCAAGGCAAAAGGAAAAGAGTACGGCCAAGGAACACACTACGCCGAGAAATAGAGAAAGATATGAGAGGAATGAACAAACATTGTACAGAACTGGAGAGAGAAGCCCAGGACAGAGTTGGTTGGAGAAAACTGGTTGGCGGCCTATGCTCGATTGGGGGTAACAGGCGTAAGTAAAGTAAGTAAGTACCGTTCATAGAGGCTATAGGATATTACATATGGAGAAGTTATGAAACGTACCCTAATGTGCCCTGATGTTTAAAAAGGCATCAATACGATCAGTTGACAGTTGAGACGTTCATACAAAATATTTTACATTGACTTAGTAGGTAATTAATATCATTAAAAATCTATCCGTAAGTGACAGACGGTTGCCTTAAAGGCAAAAAATACAGTTTTTCAAGCAATAAGGTTCTCCATAATGATAGCCTTATAACTTGTTTAACTTCAAGATGGTTTTCGTCAGAACGTGAGCACTTTATAACTATTCTGTCTTCTTCCGAGAATTTTCACGCCAGCTCATCCATGGTTACAACGCCCCACTGAACCAGTGACATTAGTTGCCTAAGTTGGTACCCCCTGTTAAAAAGATTTAAAACTGTTATAAAAGAAATATCAACTGCAGTTCAGTTTTTTAGTGATTTTTTAGCAGACTAAGGATTTATTAAAAGTAAATACTGTATTTCATATGAATTACATAATTCTTAAACAATCATGATAAAAAGTGAAATTAATGGTGTTATTTATGGGTGTTTGGTTCTCTGTGGTGGATGTTTTGGTCAGAGAAACAAACACAACCACAATCATCCACCTGAGCTACAAATCTTCTCCACCATCTCAAAATTGTGTTATTTAGCTCATTTGCGATTGTATGTAACTAGTCAGTCACGTAAAACATAAATATTCTATTTAAGGCAGTTTCCAGTACACCAGCTTCAAATTGAACGGTATTTAACATCTTCAATACGCAAAAATAACATGATTTGAAAAATAAAGTATATTCACCATGCTCAAGCAGTTCTCATTTCTTTTAGACAAAACCCGAAAAATGAGTAGTGGGAATAATTGGTATGACAGGTTTATACATTCCGCAATTCGTTCCTGTTATGAAGTGATTCGTTTTAAGAGTTATGAATAGCTTTAGCAGTCAAAAATATCTGTTTTTTGTTTCCGATCCCATTATTTAGTAAGACTTTGAAAATAAGACGAAATTATTTTTGTTGCGGACGTTAGACTCACAGAAACCGTTTGATAAATGCCTTAATCTTGGATTTTATGTACCAAACATGGGCAGATCATTTTACCTTGAGATCGCATTTCCCACCAGGAAAAGACTTGGCTGTGTTTAGTTACTGTTTTATTTTAGTGTTATTTTTGTGACTCTTCCAAGTACGTTTCCATGATGTATAAATAAACGCGATTTGTGTGCTTGTACTGGCTGGGTGTCTGTAGAAGGTACTTTCTACGCTGTATCAAGAATTTCCGTTAGTTCTTTTTGGTCAGCGGATCAGAGCAGCCTATCTGGACACTAGTTCAGTGTATCGTTCTCGTTTATCGACCCGTAATAGTTTCAAGCATACCTTGTGACGAGTATAACAATTTTGTAAGATTAGTCTAGTTGCAACTGTTTGATCCAAATTTTCAAGGTCACCAAATAGACACGAAGTGGTAAGTATCGGTTACATTCTGTTTTATGACGTTCGGGATATGTAAATCCAACAGGTTTTCCCTGGTTGTCTTTGAGAAGTAAAACTAACAGCATGAAAAAAATTATTTTCCATCAAAATACAGTTCGCTAAATGGTCAGTATTCTAATCCAAGCCTTTGCAACTAACGACATGTATCATCATCGTTAAACGAGTAATGACTATTATACCTAAATGAGCTTGTGAACCATAAATAATCAGTTTTTTTACGTTGCTATGAAGATCGAACTCCGCAAAAATCTTTCATTTTGTACTTAAATCAACAATCTGATTCTCAATTCTATAAGTCTTTTAAACTTCGGAAAAGAAATTATCTTAGACACTAGATAATCATAAAGTACTCAGCCAAGATTAGAAATAGCATTTAATTTAAATGAATCAATCAAAGTTAGGAAATCAATTTTCCAGTAATTGAAAGTGTTCGTTCTGATTAAATATTTATCAAGTTGCTGATATTTCCCTCTTGATTAGATGATTAAAGCATCTATATAATTACTCAGACAAGAGGAAGGTTAAAACTTATTGTTTGTGAATGAATGAAATTTGGTCAATTCCAAAGTTTTAACAAGTAAACTCGTCCGAACTTCTTCAGAGTAATAATCAAAATCGAAATTGTCAAAGAAAATAAATTTACACCAAAATTTTTTCGAATCGTATTCACATTTTACTGGCTTAAATATACTTACTATACAAAAATCAATATTTGAAACGCCTCAGTGTAAATGTGTTTTGAAAAGTTGTATATTCCAATATCTACACTATCGTCTCAGAATATAACATTTCGATTATGTGGCTGAGATATTTAATCATCACGTACTTATTGCTAAACAGATTGAAGAATCGAACGATGTATATTCAGTGATTACCGGATGAAACTTCGCGATTACTTGGATTTTTTCAAGCATAATTTTTACAGATAATTCCTTCTGTTTACTCAGCGCCAAAGCTCTGTTAAACGATCAGCTAAAATATAGACGACTATTCATGATGAAATCCTCACGTGATACTATCGAACATGTATTATTCCTTTTGTATTTACACTTTAGGTCTTGCGTTGTTTGTTTTTTCCATGCATAGAAGAATACCAATGCTTCTTCTATATCCACCTTTTCTGTTAATCAGATAATCCCAATTACTAGGTGGTTGCAGATTAATTAGCTACATATTTCATACTAAGTGTTCAGGTCAATATAGGATGAAATCATCTAAATCAAAGTCCTTGTACAATGGTAAAATAGATTGTCGTGAACAAGTTTGAGTGATAAACTAATCTAGAATATTTTAAAAGCTAACAATTTTGTCCTAAAGTATTACGAAAGGTCCCCTAATGACTACTATTCCTCTGATATCAAGTAGTAGTAGTAGTAGTGTCAGTAGTTCTTGTTGCTTTATTGGGAATATTTTAATCACTTCTTAGTATCTTAATCTTTATAAGTAAGTAATACAGACCACTTTCAACGTTACCAGTAAGCACTAATATAACAAATGAACAGCATTAAAAATTCATCGATTCCGTTTGTTTTAATTAATTTTTTAATAAGCTGAAAATCATCATGATCAATATCATTGATAATAACGGCCAACAACAAAAAAAACATACTGAAAACAACAAATTTAAACGAATTATTGTTTATATCTAAATTAAATCATCAATATACATAACAAAATGTCATTGTTTTGTATATTTATATATAAATATATATAAATGTATTTGAAAATTGAAAATGTAAAAAAAAACAACGTCTACACGTACAAACACACACACACATACACACAGACAGACGTGAATAGAATTTCGACTGTTCTTGACGAGTAAGACCGAACAAACACGCAAACCAATATTGATGACGATTAACTAAAACAAATTCGCTAAATTGTTTCATCATTCGAAGCTGTTTGATTTTTTTAAATAAACAAAACCAAATGAAACAAATAAACAAATTGATCATATAGTGAAAACAATTGGATAAGGAGAATTTGGGAAAGATTTTTTAAAATATACGCGCTTTGTTTGTCTGTTTGTTGGGTTTTCTTTTTTCTTAACTAAGAAAAAAAAGTGATCTTATTATAGATTGAATTCTCTAGTAGTCAGTTTATATAGCATAGACTTTTGTTGATCAGTGTGTACAAGTTATCTTTTTGCGCCAAATGTTACATGTATATTCAATCAGTGAATAGAGCAGTGTTTGAATGAAATAATGAGAGAATAGTTTTGAAAAATGTTTTTTTTGTCAATCGTTCACCATCCAAAAGACGAAGAAGAAGAATCACGATAAATCAATACTGGAACACGTATAAATGCAGGAGTTTGTCATAGGAATACTTTAAAAGTATTCAAAGTATGTATATGCATGTAATATTCATTTCAATAAATATTTAGACGTTTATTTAGTTTTGTATATGAGATAAGATATATAAATAGGTGTATGTGTATATCTGTATATATATATATATATATATATATATATATATATATCACTTACTCATGTACAGATTTGTATAGAAATATACGTATGAAAAGTAAACCGATTGGTGGGTGATAACATCACTGAAATCAATAAACATGTAAACTGTACAACAGTAAGACGTTCACAATCCGCATTGGGTACGATACCTAGTGTTTGTTTTTTATGCATCGTATGTATCCAGAAAATTGATATAATTGAAAATTTATCAAAATATTCCGCTTCCTATTCCAAATCATTATTTAATACAATAAAAAATTTGAATCACAATAAACATTATCATCAAATAGTTAGGAGAAAATAATAGAATTTTTCCTATGAACAAGTTCGCTTTTTTTTTTATAGCAGACTTGTAGTGAAAATGAAAACGAATATTGCATACAAGAAAGTGACTGCCTTTATATTTTGAACATATCTCAAAAAACAAAAAGCAAATAAGCGAGATGTACTGTTTTTTTTTTTAAAAAGAACAAAAAGATTATCTTCAGGAAACAACTGAAATCCTAAAATTTGAATTGTTTTTTTTCCTTTCTTTTAAACATGTCTGAAAATGTTCAATTTACAACATACGTTCTGATGTACATAGATGATCAATTTTTGATGATGGCGATAATATTCCATTAAGGGTTGTAGTATCGCTTGGAATATACAAAGATCGATTATTGATCGTGACAGAATTATTTTCATTGGCATACGGATTTTGATGATAATTCACGCCACAATGTAAAGAATCTGAAAAATGTGGTCGTGAAACTAACGGTTTCGTTACACCGCCGCCTCCATTGCTATGATTATTATTAGATGTAATGAAATTGCGTTTTCTAGATGCAGTTCCTGTGTTGCCAACATCCATTGAACAACCATTGACAAATTCATCATCTAAACCACCGACCATTTCACCATTTGGTAAATTACACTTATGAAGTGATGATAGAGTAGTATTAGTAGTAGTAGTAGTATTATGCCATTCTGATTGACTAGATGGATACAATGATGATGTAGTTGTAGCATTACCATTGATACAAGAAGAATTGACAAATGACTGTGACGGAGGGACTACAAGTGATGGAGATAGTTGATTGAATATTTGTCGACTGAAACTATTTGCACTAGATATCAAGCCATTTTGATGCAAAGTTTTTGAATGTTGTCTAGGTGAATTCGCCAAATAACTAGAATCGGAATTAACAATTATATTGTTATGATTATGATTATTATTAGCAGCAGCAGCAGTAGCAGTATTAGCATTGTTGTTAAAATCATAAAATCCTGACGGTGGTGTAATGTTCAAGAAATCACCTTCAGAATCACGATTTAAATGATGCATTGCTATGTTATGAGAATCTGAGTAGATATTTAGAAAAAGAAAACATCAAAATGTATACGTAATAGTAAATAAACAGAAGTGGTTTAACAAAGAAAGTACTACTCTACAAAACCACTGAACTACACGTTTGAATCTTAATCTTGTCTACATTCAGTTGAAGTAAGGGGTGGTTTCAATAACTTTTACGTAAAACAAGTAGATCAAAGATCATTGAACAAACCTATTTCCATAGTCATCGAGTCAAATGGTGAATAATATCTGTTTATAATATTTAAATTAAATGATGACTCGTGTAGTTTCTAAAGTGACTGTGGTAAATCTCATTTATATCATGATAGAAATTAGACTAGAATAAATTGCATTAAATCGTATGCTGTGCTGATGTCACTTTGTTTTTATTTAGGATTCTCTTGGTTGCCTTTCTTGAATAAAACGAACATCATGAAACAGTCATTGTTAGACCACAATTATAAGCCAAGAAGCACTAGACGGCCATTTCTTCCTGGCATGGAACTCGTCCACAGTGGGTATTGTTATTGAAATAACCAAAAAGCTGATTTTTTTTTACCGTCATTCTGGAACTATATCACTTTATCTAGCAAACTATTCACCAAGTTCTCAGCGTTAGCTAAATTTTAACTTCACGATCTGATCATTCTGAGTTAGGTCAAATGTGTAATTATCGTTGTGTATCATTTAGAAATGTTGATGATGAGCGAAATAGGTGTCTGGCTCTTGCTAATTTTAAATTATTTTTGAAACGAGATCAGTATATCATAGCACGAATAGATTTTTTTGTAAAAATATCCAGTAATCTCCTAGTCAGTTCAAACTAACACATATGACTTTGTTTTGATTTCATTAGGCCTAGTAGATATTATAATAAAAACATTAAAATTTGCTAAATCACTAAGATTTAATAAACATTTATTTGATTTGTATTTTCAAGTGTAAACTTGACAGAATAATACTCATAAGTGCATATATACAACTTCCAGTCAGTCTTGTTGAGGTTGGGTGGAACTCTAATAGTAGTGAATAGTTTAATCTAGTTGAATGTTGTTTACTGTATTTCATTTTGCTTTTTTGAACACTATTCAATAAAGATAAGGTCAAGTTGATTAGAGATAATTCCGAATTGTATGATATATTTGTCATATAAAAGTTTTCAAAGAAAATCAATCCCACCGACCACCTTTTTTATTGTAACCTTTAACAACTCGCTACTTCGATAATTTACATGATTTATTATACCTGAACCTTCTCTAGCATGTAACTGTAGATATCCATTGGCTTACAGTATGATAGTGCTTTTAATGTCAACTTAATGTTTGATAATGTGTCACCACTTATAAATTCGGTTTTGCTACGATTCATAGTGAAACAACGACCAGTAGTACGATTTTATTTATGGTTATAAAATCAAATAAAGTCTAGTCAGTAGTATAGGAAAAATTAAAACTAGGAGTTATACACTGTTTCAAAAGGAACCCTTTTTTTATTCAGAAAACTAACTCCAATTCACGACATCTAGATTTTAATAATGTGGTTATGTGTAGGAGGCTGGGTAAACCAGAAAATTTTACCCATTACTTACAAATAAGTTAGATTAGTTCATTGGTGATGGATTGTGTTACAAATTTACTCCAGTTGAAGAAAAGTTGAAAACTAAAATTTACATAATGATTCTTTTATGACAGTTTATAGCTACTGAGGAATGTGCATTGACGACCCTGCATATATTTAAACCAGCATAATTCATTCGTATGGTGGATGTATTACGTTTAAACTGCAAACTTTATAATTCACTGATCTACACTTATAAATTTCATCGATTAGTAATATTGAGGAATAAGAAATGATTATTCAGCTGAAGTCAGTTCATAATGTACAAAATTCCTAAATAACATAACCATTGTGGTGTATGGTGAGTGAAAGAAGGTTGGAAATTGAAACCTATCCTCTGAGTTGCAGAAGTCACAGATGCGCGCTGCTGATGAGTCCTACACCAGAATGAGACGGTCGTCCAGTGCTTCGATGTTTTAATGATGGTCTAATATTGATCGATTCCTGATTTCAAAAACTACAGTTACAAGCCAATCGGTAATATACCATAAACATACTCATTATAAAACTATTAGTTATGTGGCTTAATTTGTTCAAGAGTGTTCTATACATAAAATCGATAAATTTAAAAGAGATGAATATTTAGTACTCTCTGGATTTTAACAGCTGCGACTAATCATCGACTACCAATAACTAAACTTATTCATAAACACCAAGTATTATAAAAATCATCAAATTTTATTTCGGATAAATTTTCAAGTTCATTTTTTTTCAGTATTTACAACCTTTTATTTTATTTACTGTACTATGAAGAAGAGATAAATGTGTAAGCTTTTCACCACACAGATACACTAATATTCTAGTCAGTTCAGCCTGTTTCTCGTACATCTTTGAAAATACTAGTAAATAAATATTAAATTATCAACTTATATTTATACAGATTTTTTGCATTTTCTCTCTTAACTTAAGATGCTTTTATTGAGTTTTTGTTGTTAGATCATTATTCATAATCACTTTTTGTGGAAACTATTCGAAATAATTCAACTAACAAGTGTATTTAAATACGTTAAGCTATGATGTAAGATGATAAGAAGCTGTCAGAAAGAGGTCTAAGAACTAGATTTCCCTTTAGCTTAAATTCGTTGGCAAGGCATACTTACAGTTTCGTGAGACCTGATGATGCCCGTGTGATTCGAATTCGCTTTACCCAGCAAATGAGTTAGTTATGCCACCGCCAAGCTTTTCGAATAACAGTCAACCTGCCTTCTGAATAGTAACCAATGTCATAATCTGCTTAATACATAATGTCATAGTCAAATATAGCACTTTGCAGCCCGAACTGATGCAATTTGGAGTCGGACAGTCTAGTGACAGAATGTGGATAACCAAAGCGGCAAAACATAATAAGTGTATCACGTGACAAGCATCCTTTTCACCATCTTTATTTATAAAATACAACTGGATATGCTTTCGTTTTCATATATTTAATCCGATACTCCATAATATTCTTGATAAACAAAGTCACTACCTGTTAACTGGCGTCATCTATTAACAGATAACAATGACTAAAACTCAGTAACTAAACATATTATTTCTTGTGTTCATCTGTAAACGAAACAAATAATGACGCTATGATATCTTAGTCATATAGTCTACTACCACTTAAACACTTCAATAAGATGATTATGAATTTGCCAAAAGAATTTATGTCGTTCTAAAGTTGTAAATACATGTATTTTTGACCAAATTATCCATTTATCACATTGATTTTTTGTATAAATTTAATACAATATATGTTTTATGTATCATAAAAACCTTTCATGTGGAGTTACCACATAGGTATTTGCATAAGTTTCTTCTTTAACAACTTCTGTCATATGTTGTATGAAATGAAGCAATTTGTGATAATGAAGACCATCTCACTAAAACAATGTATCTAATTGTTAAGAGGGAAGCAAAACTTTTTTTATGGTTAACATGCATCCTTATCACCATTCCATTATCTATTGGCAAATGAACAACAGTCTATGTTTAGACGGTTAAACTGAGAGAAGAAAAAAAAAGTGGATACATACATATAGCTTACCGTTACAGGTTAACATTGTAACTTATATGACTGTTTGTTTTAGATACTATATGAAATGATTTAAGCCTTAACTAAAATGTATATACACATACAAACACACTGATAACTATGCACAATAGTCTACATAAGCCACAATAATCATAATGATAATAATAATAATAGTAACAACAACAAAATCTCCATTTTCAATTAAACGACAGAATTTAATTGATTCGTGTAACTTTTTTGCAAAACATCCCCAATAGGAATTTGGAAATTTCTATGTGAATGTATTTAATTGTTTTCAGATTTATAAAGATTGGAAAAAAATTAAATGTGAAGCAAATCGATTATTTTGTTAGCATATATCTATTTTACTCTTTCATCCTTATGTTCTATATTACTTCAGGTATGGTGTATGTCAGTAAATTAATAGGTGAAGTAGTTTAACAGTCTGATTGCCCTGATAAAAGTGTGCATACAACTTCACACTGATATTCGATAACTGAAAATTTGTCAACTGGAATTATATTCATTTGTTTTCATTAAGTTTACGATAATTCGTCACTAAAACAAATACTTGAAGGAAGCCTCAAACAGTGGACAGCTGACAATGGAGTTGTTAGTGTTAAGGAAAGCAATTTTGCAACACTAAACACAAGTGTGAATGGGGCTAAATGAAAGCTATAACATATTACTAACCCATGTATACATCTAGAATAGGTCCTTGTTAAATTATACTAATCCTTGAACATATATATAATACTTTACAAGACATCATATATAAATCTAAAGTTACCTGCATTAAACCCATTGCAATTCGTACAATGATCCGATTGTAAACTGGATAAGATTTTATTTGCTTGATTGCCCAAATAATTCATATCACATCTATTTTCAACTTCATCCATATTGATTGGATTATTAGAATTAATGAAACCATTTTGAACAATATTTTGATTATTATTGTTGTTATTATTATTATTATTAGTGTTTGTGATATTATTATTATTGTTACCATTATTGAAATATGTTCCATCGTTAACTTTTCGATTATTCATATGCGTGGGTGAATGTGAAAAGCCTGGACTGATACCACTACCTCTACCGCTATCCGAATAGTTATACCCATTTGGGCAAGTTTGTAAATAGACGGCTGTGGTTGATTCTGTTCCATGTTGACCTGCATTGGTATTACTTACAACCATGGCAGGTAGAATACTCGAAATTGTTGCATCAGAAAAACTGACCACTTGTCCAGGACGATAAATAAAATTTCCTTGTTCTATTCCTGAAGCACTATTGTTAGCACCTACTGTACCAATAGCATCTGAAACACTAGAACCTTCACTTGTACTTCGTCTTAAAGCATCCTGTGATGAGCGTTTTGGACGAAGACGAGGATTTCGAAATTTTCCACTTGTTTGATTCCAAGTTCCACTGCTTCCTTCTATTGTGTTAGTTAGTTGTAAACCTCCAGACATCTCAAGCATGCAGTTAGGTGTATTACATCCAGCACTCAACAAAGCAGCTTTATCAGGCCCAGAACTTAGAGCCACATAAAGCGGAGAACCAATTTTGTTTCCATTTGAACCCCATCCACCGGAATTTAATGTCCCACCTGTATATAATGTATTTCCATAAGCACTTCCACTTCTGACAGAACCATTTCCATGTGGTGACATTGTATTTACAAACGGTTGATGAGTTTGTAGCCCTAAAGGGCCACATACTGCTACTTCCGAGGCTACTTGACGAACAACTTCTGGTGGACAACGACATCCAAAACGACACGTACCTTGACAACGCCTTCGTCTGTATAGCCTACGGATGCGACATATATACAACCATGTTATAATAAGGGTGATTATAAGTATCAAACATAAACAGGACAGAGAAACGGTTGCAAGAAACCAATTTTTCGGTTCAGTTCCAGATAAAAGTGTATCCCAAAATGCAGAACTGCTACGTTCATCATTTTCATTACCAAATGAATTGCTAGCAGCACGATTCTGTGAATTAGTTGAAGATAAGATAGACTGATTATCAAAATTGCTTATAATTGTTGATAAAGTTGTCATTACTGTTGTTGGTATTGTCGTTGTGACAGGTTTTGTGGTAGTTGTTGTGACTGGTTCTGGGCATTTAATTGATTGAACGCATAGTACATATTTTGTTTCAGATCCAGCTTCAATCATTAAACCGGGTTCATTTTCTCGAGATGCTAAATACAAGATTGTAGTTCTAAAGGTGAATCTTGAAAATTTATCTGCCAAAGGAAATTCAATTGTTCCATTTAATCGTCTGCTTTGCACCAGCTGTATAGATAATTAATAAGAAAACAATAAAATGAAGTTAACTTTGACGTTTTCTACGTAAATTATGAAGGTACACAATACTTACTCTATTCGACTACTTTTCATGGTAAAGTGAAAATAGAGGAAATAGTATTTAATCGAGAGAAGTAGTAGTAAAATGTTACACTTTCTTTCGGTACTACACAATCTCACGAAATAAATCCTGATTTACTGAAGTTTGCTTAAAATCCAATACAATCATACTGAATTAATCAATAAACACTATATGTAACAACAATCTCTGTTACAAACCATTCCCATCATTCATGTAATAATTCATTTTTTTAGTCAGAAAGGTATGTTTTATAAAAATATACCAGGTGGTCTCAAATATTATTAGGTACTTAACAATAAACAGATGTTGTACATCTCATTTAAGACGTGACAAGTAATTACGAGCGATCCTTGACTTCATACTGCAGTAAAATTATTTTTTGAACCTTTGTAAAGTACATTTCATTTTGAGTATAAAACTAGTCTTGGTTGAACAGTGTTATGCTCATCAATTCATAAGCTTTAAACTTTTACTAGTTCACCTTAGTCGATAAACCAGAGCGAGACAATGATCCAGTGGCACGATAGGCTGCTCTAATCCGTTGCCCTGTCTATCTGAAGAAGTAGTCTTGATAAGGCGTAGAAAGTGTATTCTACAAGCACCCAGAAAATACGACGATCTCAAGCGAACAAATCGAGTTTATCTATACATGATAGAAACATCCTTGGGAGAGCCATAAAAATAGCCTACTAAAATAACACATCAACCATTGACAGTTAAGGATTTTCCTGGTGGGAAATGTAATCTCAGGGTCAACTGATCAGCCCATGCGCTAAAGCATAAAAACCAAAATTAGAACCATTATCAAGTGAGTTCTAGGGATCTAACGTCTCCAAAAAACAGCTTAGATAATGATAAACCAACTACATAATGGAATTTCCTGATACTGACCGAGACGCAGAGATAACCCTTGAACAATCAGTATGCTATGAGAATAAGGAAGATGCTGCTCTATGTTTGACGATTAACTCAATATTAACTAAGCCTGAATGCAGAGAATAAACACAAGTCCACTGATCACCAGTCTAAGATTTGACAATACATTTCAGATATACTTTTATAAACATACAAAGCAGACTGCACCGTACCATTATATGGGAAATAACAATCAGAAGTTGCTGTGAGCAAGGGGAGACTATAAATGATAATAAACTATTATAGGGTTAATGGAAAGCTTCTGATAAAAGTGATATATACACTTGATAATCTAATTATTTAACAATTATCCAATAGAACTATATACATTGATAATCCATAAATTTTTGTCCTCTAAGTTACTACTATTTTAATCTTCATCTGGATATATCACTAACATTACTTAAAGATTGATAACATTTTGATTTTGAACAATAGTAATAACTATCCATTTTGAATTAAGTAGACTATGACTGAACCAAAATATAACATCATTCGCATAAATGTACGTTGTAAGTTAAGTGGGAAACAAATCAACTACGTATACACTGCAGAAACATTAGTCTAAGCTTGAACCTTGAATGTGCAAGCAACACTTTTAATCTCTCATTCTTCCATGACATTAACATTCTCTTTTAGTCTATTGTTTTTGTAAAATGTTAGTTATTTTTCTGTCATCTCTTTATCAAGTGTAATGATGGATTGTTTTGATCACGTTAGAGATAAATAAGATTATTTTTCAAAAACAGATTCACTTTTTTCACCATTTGTTTCTTTTATCCATCCAAAAGTCTACAGAGTGGTTCAGTGTGTTTGTTTTTTTTTTTTTGTCATTTCAAAATTCACATGTGACATAATATTTATATTTATATGATGCCGTGAGACTTATCTACTAATAAATAAAAATTTTATATGAATGTTATAAGTAAGATAAACAGTAGGACTGAAGAAAATATATGAATTCAATATAAACATTTTTAGTCTGATTCATTTGTATTGGTTCTTTGAATTTTTTTCAATGATATTTAGAGCTGCAATTGATCAGTCTATTTGGTATCCTATGCAGATTGCCTCATTACTGCCTTCAGGTTATAAGCATTATTAATAGAAGTGGTTAGTGGATAGCAGTAGAATCCAGGACGTATGTATCATCCTATTTAAGACTCATCAAATGAATGTACATGCATCTCAGAGTTGATTTTGATTGTCAGACAAAATATAAACAACAAGACAACCCGTGTTACTTGATTTAAACTCATATCTATTACATATTCGGTTGGTTATCTGGACTCAGTAGCTAAATGAATAACTAGATGGTGTTTGAATCCGAGTCCCGGAGTGGACATCAACTCTGAGATTCAGGTATATCCAGCTGATGCGTCCCAAATAGGATGAAAAGCGCTTCCTGGATTCCACTGCTAGTCACTATCCACCTCTAGTAATACATTTTTCAGTCTGTGTTTACATAAATGAGTATTGTAAAAATGACAAACATAAAAGTGGAAAGGAAAGTTGTGATTAGGATTTTTTCAAAGTTTATTTCATTAAATTATAATTATACTTATTATCATTAAAATATCACATTGATATACTTCAATATGGGAGAGCTTTTGCATTTCTACTGAAACAAATACTCGGTAATCATTATATCAAAACTGCCTAGCTATAGCGGATACGAAATGAATTTATGTTTAAAAAAATAGATATAGTCAAAAATGTGTCCATAATAAAACTACCTTCCTGAATTTTACAAGACTACCTAAACAAACTCAATAGAATGGAGTAAACACATAAAAATGCACCATTATTATGATGATTCTTTTGTCCTATAGATGTTTTGGTTGTAAGAAAAAATTCAAGTGGAATTTATTTTATGTCTTATGAATTATCCCAACGAAACGTTGTTTCTCATATACAATTCTCTAATCCTGATCGACATAAATAAATAATATATATGACAATGTGAATCTAAACGCGATTTATTCTACTCAAAGATTTAAACAAATCAAGAGCAATCATATTTATTGATTACATATACCGAATAAATTTCGTTGCTTTATCAGTAACGTATATATTAACTTCAAGTTCCATCTCAACTTTGCTTTCTGAAAAGTCGATTATTTCCTACTATGTAACTAGTAAGTATACCATTATTTAGGGAAGTTTCATACTAATCATACTTGCATATACGTATAAAGAAAGTAACGAAACACAGTGAATTCATTTTGTTTTACGAAATTTCCTGTTACCTCTCCCCCTCATAGATTGATCGTTGTTTTATGTTTTTCATGTGATATTTGTCTTTTCTTGACACTGATAGAATTCTATGTATCAGTTGCAATGTAACCTCTAGTTTAGGTTACTTCACATTACATATACCATATTCTAAAGACAAGTTTCTTGCGCATCACTTCTAACCTCCTATGATTGTTGTTCCGAGTTTGTTCATATTAGAAATTGTTAAAAAATCTAAAGGGTGATAGTAGACTCTTTTTTGTCTATTCTTACAAATATTTACTTTTCTCAATGCCTTCCTCCAAAAAAAGAAACACCCTTTTGATACATATAAAAGAGATCAATTCCCTGTGTGAATTTTTAAATATTTCAACATTGAATTATGAAAGTTGTATGAACATTTGAATTTTCAAGGATCTTCCATTTTTCAGTTGTAATCAAACAATTTAACCTTTTTTAAGCCATATGTTCATGAGACAAATTATTTAGTGAGTAAATTTAATAATATTCATTCATTTTGTCAAAATTATATAATGAGATAATAAGAGATGTTAATTAAGCTACAAAATTTAGTAAGTGCTGAATTCGATAAATAACTGCTCTGGAAGAATAATACCAACAAAATTATAATAATGTATGATGAAGAGTTGTTTGAATAAATCTACTAAAATTTTTACAGTAACTAAGTGCAGAGAACAATTGGAGCACAGAATAGTTTACCATCTGTCTAGTAGTTTATAATGCAAAAATAAGTAATATGAACGAACATCTGTCCACTCGGTACATGTTTAATGCAATAACTCAATTTCATGGTTGATTATCTAAGATATCAATGTTTTTTTTGAATGTAAGTTATTCTGTTAAAGCCATAAAGATGAGTTATATATAGATAGGATATTTTTAAAACGTATCATATATTAACAGAACCGTTTATAAATTTACACTAATACCTGACGCTTAGTTACAACTGAGTGGTAGCGCTGATCAATTTCTGTCCAGTACAGTAATATCCTTGACTGTGAAGATATTCTGTAAGGGTCTGGATCCTCTATGAAGTATCAGTTATCTTACGATTACAAGTACATTTTGCTAACACGTGTTAAATAGCAAGAAACCTGGGTTTAAAGTTTTCATTTGACTACTTCTAACCACCACGTTTCGTCTCGAATTACTCTCATAAATAAATCAGTAACCAATTCAATTACTGCAATAATGTCTTTGAAGATATCAAATTTTGATGTTACTCACTCACTATTCTGAGCTAGATGGTTTAGTTGTTGAGTTTTTTTTATTGTTCTGGACAACATCATTGGTGTTTACTATGTTTGGAAGTGATTTTAATTATTTCATGAATCTGAAATCACTTTGTCCTATGTGAAACAGTATATTCTTATCCCAAGAACATCAAGTGATGTAACTTTTAGTTACAGTCAAGTGATACAAATAGTTCTATTACGTTTTTCAACAATATTCACTTGTGGAATTATCTTCCAGACAGGTAGATTGCTTTCTTAAAGATAGGTATACAATAAATATTAGGCTAGTCATTTCTAAAAATCAGTGGTTTCTGAGCATGTTTATCGTATGATGCTTAAAATATTAAAAAATCTTAGTGGTACAAACTGATGATGAGAGAATCACACAAATAGATATTATTTTTTACAGCAGATAATATTCACTAATCAAGATTTTTATAACGAGTTGGAACCCATTAACAGTCCAAATACTAACTAAACCTGTAAACTAGAATTTAAAA